CTAACTAAGACATTGTACACTACAGAGAGTAGAGGTCCTTGGTATTTTTTTTATTTATTGCCAGGGTTCAAATGGGGTTAGTATCTGTCATATACGGTCCACCGAGATAAAAACTTGTTTCCCTCCAGTTATTTCCAAACGAAGCGTAAAGTTTGTTATTTACATAATTCACGTAGTACGCTCTAATGATGGTGACTGAAGCTTAATTCTTTTCTAACAATAATGTTAGGTAATGTCGTCAAACAGTGTTGTCTTATTTTAACCAAAGAAATAGGTTTAAGAGTATACATACGGATAACATAATTAGCCTAGATCATTGATTAGTGTGACCAGTTCAATTCACGAAGTGTACTTCTTCTAAAATAACTGTAAAGCGTGTAGCCGTAGTCATGACACCATTGTTATGACAACAGACTCGGACAATCTCGGACACTTTTTTGGACAGGAGTGGCGTCGAAAACGCACACAAGACACAAATACACTACTTTGTACTGGAAGTAATGATACGTCCTATTTATAGGCCTACAGTTATTGATTGCTATCAAAACTACACGCCCAAAATAATGCAAACAGATAGGTTACTGTTCTCAAGAAAATATATATGAGTGATCTATGTTAGTAATGAGTTGGTAAAGGTTATTCAATAAAGTTATTCAATAAGGTTATTCATTAATAAGATAAGGTTTACAGGCTAATATCGTCGATAAAAGGGTATAGACAACTTACTACTCCTTCTATCTATGCTAATATGTTGGATTTTAAACCTATTTTTAACATAGTCCAATCGCAATACTAGCTAAGTGTGCACTAATGTCATACCTTTGATATGCATCCAAGTGACAACCAATTTAGATTGACAGCTCAGTCACCAACTCATTACACAATACACTTCACGTAAAGTATAAATCGAACATTCTATCTAATTTATAACTCCACCATAAACAAGTAATCGTCACTTTAAGTATAGCACCGTTTAATATTTAGTAGAGAACCAAATATTTAGTACGAACCGACCGCCCGAACGCGAGTTACAACACGAAAATGAACTTGCATTGCCACAGGCTAGACAGTGACAACAATAGATCAGCTGTTGGCGCTCAGCCTTCTTCATTCACAACGTCGTCATGGACCAATGAACAAGTAACTCCACTGGGGCGTTGATTTAATTATTACCTACCTTATTAATTAACGGAATTATATATATATATATATATAAGTCATTAAAACGGCTTTAGGGATATGGTAACAGTTGAATACATGTTAGGCGGGTTGACAGAATAAATATTATGCCGGTTAGTAATTATATATTATCGATGTTGTAAAATAGCAGTTTTCCGTTACTAGTCCCTAAAGTAGGTTTTTTTGGCACGATATCGTGTTTAACGGACGAGGCTTTGCTGAGTCGGAAATTCGATTAAGTCACAAAAAAGCATTTTAGGACGAGTTGCGAACAATATTTTTCATTACATTGTCATATATTATAGCAGAAAATACAAAATATAGCCAAAACCGTTTGATTAAAGGATCAGAACAGCTGATTTTATTTAGATAAGCTTTGACATAACCACCACATGATTCGAGTCCGTAATATTTTACGGACTAGTCCGTAAAACGATCCGAAGGAAAGATGTTTTTGAGACATTGTAATAAAAAATAAATTTTTGGTAGGCCTAAATAATTATTATAATCACAAGTAAGTACGTTTTAATTTATGTTATTTTACATGTAGTAAATATTCTGACATCATATTGCCATGAAACTAATTGGATCCATACATTTGAAGCTGTAAAAGTTTTAAGGCTACATCAGTTTTAACAATTGATTTTTATACTTCGAGTCCTACAAAATTTCGACTAAGATCAACATTATGAACAAATTAACAATGTCATCAATCTTCCCAAAGAGGAATTTTATAAAGTACAGTAGTAGAAATTCACAAGTTTTATTAAAAAAACCAACGGTTTCATTGTTATTAAAATGCTTAAATTAAGAAGCAGTTTTTCTTTCTTTGCCTCTAAGTAAAATAATTATTTTTGAATGAGGAGATATATTAGTGGTCTATGACGAGGAGTATTGTACATAGAAGCCTGTGAGATAACAGCTGATGTTATTGTTGTCCCTATCTCGCCTACAACGGATGACTTAACTAACTTGAGAGTGGACGGTCCACAAGTAATAGTGTTTTACAACCACATGCCTAAAGTCTCTAATATATTTGAAGACCTTATTTAATCGTGAGTGTTACTTATGGGGGAAGAACTTTTATTTGCTAACACGAAAAATAGTTTACTAGTACGCAGTAAGGATGTTGCGTTCTACATTGTCTGTTACTAAAAAGGAAATTTAGATTAGGAAATTATTTATTTATCTCAACCAACAATACTATGAGCAATGCATGAAATTACAATAAGCATTTATTATTAAAATTCAGTGATTTTTTTCCAAGGTTAGTCTTGTATCCTCATGTAATGTCAAGGGGAATACGTGACACTGTTTTGATAGAAGTAAAGTTATGTTACAGCAGTTTTTAATTTTTTGTTTCATTCGGAAATGTAAATGATTTGATTGGGGCGATATCAGTGTTTGTTGATCGATTGTAAATTATCTTTTACTACGAAAGTATTTGAATCAACAGAGAATGAAGCAGATAAAATCCGATTACCATGCACGTTGACGTTGATATTATCATAAACCTGGTATTTTATAAGTACTGTTGGCTTATGAACCGTCTGGGTAGCCTTTAATGGTTATGGGTAACCTTTTAATGTCAAATTATGTTTAAAGACGGCTAATTATTATCTAAATGTTTGAATGAGATTACTTTCAATTCCCCACAAAAATGTACAGCGTAAACATTACATGCTGGCTCATTAATCTTTTTAAATCATCGTAACAAACTAATTTTTTAAATGTCTTTCGTACCATTTTTACATGAGAAGTAGTAGTTACATGCTCTGCCTTTAATTTTAAAAAAATGCGTAATATTTTGAATTATGACTTACTTCTATTTCCACTCATATTTTTCAGGATATTTTGTTAACATAAAACATATTGTTTGCAGTGTTCCGGCAGGGAGAGCAGGGTAGCAGCTGGTATGCTGTACTCGGGGGGTGTCTGGACGTGCGGTTGCTCACCCCTCAACAAGACAACAAGGTATTTAATTATGATTACCTATTTTAATCATATGATTAAACTCATCACAAAAATGCAGTAGATAGGTTACCTTAATTAAAGAAATGACAATTGTCTTGGGGGTTATCATGTAAATATGATAAAGTGATAACGTATGCCTCGCGGAACGTTGATATTTTTTCTTTCTAGATAGCAATAACATACTTAAGTTTAGATGACATTTTTGACAGTTAATTGTACCCTAGATTCCATTGTCCACAAGATATTTTAGTTAAACATAAACATCAATCTATAGAATATACCCTACTTTTCAGCCCTAATGAAGTTATTATATTCTAATACAAATTTAAACACAAAAAAATAAAGGCTATTGAGAGTTAATTTTTATTGTTAGTCTCAATAATACATAACAAAGTTTGATAATGTTATATTTTGTAAAACAGTCCTTTTTTTGTTATACATCTTAGTTAGGCTATATCTACTTATATAAGTGGTTGATATAAGTCTTTCCCCCATTTTGCAAATAGCTACACAAATAAATCTTACTATCTCTTACAGTAGGCCTACTCTTTAATACCTTTTGAAACTTAAAGCTCACATGACCGCACTACTTGAAAAACTGATCACGGTCTTCTAATATAGTGTGTGATATTTACCAGTTTAGATTGTACACGACGCCGGGACATAAGGGTGCGTGTTTTTTTTTTTTTTTTTTTACCAACTTAGGCGAGTAAAAGCTGATGGTTGACTAATAAATCACATGACTGTGTCTAGTGACAGTGTCTAGATGTTCTGGTTCTTCAGCCAGAACTTATTATCCCTGATAAAGAATAAACTATGGCTGTGCCCAGTTTCGGAACATCAAAAATCTGTTAACTTTCCTATGATTGAACTGGTGACCAACATATTCGTAGGTCAGTACTATAACAACTCAGCTATACCTATGCGCATACAGATGTCCATAAATAATACATAACGTTTTTTAACTCGCTTAGCATTTTGTTAACTTTAAGCTCATATTACTTGGCCGCGTAATATGCTTGACATTTTTCTCATACCTAATATTTACAAGAAAACACGTCGATACATCGTTTACTCAAACATCAATTATGTCCATGCCCGATCACAGCCAGAGAAAGTTGTGGTTACAGCAGCCAGTCAGTGATATCCTGGCAGGGTATTGTATATCCTAACCAGTCTGTCTGAAGGACCTTCTCACAGTCTGGATAGTCTGAGCCGGGCCGCCATTGTGGACATCACGATACATACACGCCATTCAGTCTCGGCGGGCCGTCACAGCTGTGTACAGCTGACTAGTGTTGTTAGGCAGCTTGGTTAAGTTTGATTCCATTTCGGTTTGTTTTGTGCGTCGATTTTCTTTTTTGGTTAAGAATTTTTGTACAGTGTTATGGTTAAATTTAAAGAGTGAGTTGTAAAATGTGAAAATGTTTAGGATAAGTTTTGTGAAAGCTATTTACACTTGACCTTTGCTTGTACTATTTTAAATAATTTGGTGTCAAATTTGCTTTAATTCGTGATGAATCAATATTATTTATTTAGACTGCTAGAAAGAAACATTTCCTAAGTACACCACAAAAAAATCGTTCCAACCGTAAAGTGAGATTTTAAGAAAAAGTTAACTTAGATTGTGCAATATATTAAAGGACAAACAAAAAAAGCTAACCCACGTGACAGAAACAACATAATTTTACGACATTATGATTTTCTTTAAAATTATCTACCATAACAACATTTTAAAGCAATACAAACTGTTACTGAAATTTAAAAAGGTAAATTAGTTATTACAAACTTACTAGAATCACTAACCGGAATAACTTTTCAACTATAAAGCTGAACCATCAACATTGTTTACCAGGCCACGATACTTGTAGGATGTGACAAATGTTCGTCCGGTGGAGTTAATTAATGAGTTGACTGCGATCGTGAGACGAGAACAATTAATTTTCTAACGGCTTGGCTCTCGTTTCCTGCGGGAAATTCAGACTGTCGTGGCTTAGCGTCTTACGATTGAAATTGAATTAGTTACAAAAATATTATGCAAAGTTAAGATGATAAAATACCAGCTATCTAATATCTTTTGAAATATTTATCGTATTTTGATTTTCGTGGTTGTATATTGGGATGCAGTTTGAGAGTTAAGTCATCGCAAAGTTCAGTGTATCAAACAAACGTTTAGAGGAGTGTTCGTCTAGAAGAACTAGTGTAATTTCACTGCCTTGGACGATGCTACTATGTTTTGGAGACGCGGAGTTTACCATGTGTCACCCAAAGATAAGGTAATGTTTTGTCCTAATGAAGAATTAACAGTATGTACGACCGTTCAATCCTTAGTCCTTAATCCTTAGCTGACGGATCATGTTAAAGTGTGCTTCTCAATGCATATTAAATTGTTTTCAACTTATCAACGTAATTATTTAATGGGTTGAATATTGAATTGTTGATTTCAGTTGAGAATACGTTTAATATATAGTAGGAGTCTTCGAATTTTAGCAAACAATTTCAAATATTTATGTGTATTAAGTAATTAAAGGGATTATTTTGTAGTTTTTTTTTTATACATTCATTATACTCTTTGTTTAGTACCCAACGTACTGTATAGACAATCTAAAAATATTATTTCAACGAATTGATTTTTTCCCCATTCATTGTATGTTTTACATATATATTTATGCTTGGTTTGCATTTACTTTTATTTGTTTTATGTATAATAAACAGCGTAATCTTGTTACAATAACAATGTAACAATTTAGCGTAACAATGTAATTATATGTATAATCTTCTACCAAAAGATTTAGACTTTTCATTCAATGAGCTATATTATAAATTTACCGTAAGTGTAATTTTAAACTACATTTTACCTCTGCAGATGAGTTGTATGCAGTTCACTTTAAAATAAGTCAGCTTTAGGAAGTCTGGTAAAATATCTTGTTCGTGTTGGTTAAAAGTGTATAGCTGTGCAAATCTTTGGTAGAAGAAACTCAATAAAACTAAACATTGTTGGTCGTAAGCTATCTCTAGTTTTTTAAAGTCGAAAAACAAAACAAAATAAACATTCGTTTGTATGAAACCACAATAGTATCGAATTGCACCAAACAATTCAACAATCAAACACTGAATAAATACACTGGATTGGTGGTTTTTTTCCTGATTTTCAGCTTTATAAATAACGCTTTTCTCTTTGAATAAAGGATATTGTATCGGTTGCTGTATAGCTTTGTGCATGCTTTGTACAACTCGGAAATTTTAAAGGAAATAAATTTTAAATTGATTCACACTATTAATGCATGTTTATCCATAAATTTTTACCAACCCTGAAATTCCTCGATTTTTAATTTAAATTCAATGTATTCCACCAAAACTACAATTTGACCAACTTGTAATCAACTTGATGATTTTGCGAACCTTCATTACCTCACTTCAGTGTTTATACTATATAAATGTCAATAGTAAATTTATCCTTATTTCCATTCATCAAGTAAATTTCAACAATACTTAGTTTCATTTTTCAGGGAACAAAAATAATCTGTCTGTGGTATTGGACGTTATTTAGTAACATTTATGATTGTTTAACTTATGGAGAATGATTTAGTTCTTTAAATAATGCAATTAGTCAATAAAAAGTTTGTTCAGTCTGTTATGCGTGACGAGAGTTTTTGATGTTTGTAAAAACGGTAAACAAATATTATAAAATATTTTTAAACATTCTGTTGACGGTGAAATATGAAAGTTGATGTAGAGCACGTGGCAGTTTGAAAAATTTGAGATTCATCCAATAACGGTGTATCAATTATTGTATCCAATCAGCGAGTTTGTATTGCATACAAAACTTCGGCGAATTAGTGTTGTAACAAGCCTGGGTTGATGAAGTTTGTAAAATATTTTTTTTTTTCAAACAACACTTGTTACCATTTGTTAATAATTACCAATTTAAATCATGATGTTAAACATGCATGAAAGAAAACTGGTTAATGTAAATGTATGTTTCTCCTCTTAAATTTATTATGCTCTAAATAAAACTCTCGTTTGTAAACTTTATTTGGACAGGTATGGCTTTCAAAAAGACCTTAAAAAACATCACTACAATATTGCAAAGATGACTAAAATTACTGTTAGTTGTTTTTTGAAAGAATTATGTGTAATGTATTTGTCCCATTTTAAATTACAAGCAATTTATAACACATAATTATGTAAAGATTTTAACAAAACCTGTAGGTTAAAACAATTTAGGTTAATCCAAAAACTAACTCTGCACTAACTAACTTTTATTTCGAAGCTGCAAACCGATTTTTCATTTACCTAACTTATGTGTATCATTAAAAAAATACCAAGTAATAAAAAGCTAATGACTGATTAATATCAATGACGAACGCCATACACTACATACATAAAAAAATCCTAATTTATTTGTAATTTATTTTTTTATACTTTATCAAGTTATATTTAGTCTACAAGAAATAATAATCATACTTATTTCCTTATCGCTTGTGTCAGCAGATTACTATTATTTTTCTTATTCTCTTATCATGTATGTAATCAAAAATTGGAATGTTTAAATAGCTTATTAAGAGTAGGCCTATAAAAAAATCAAACAAATAATGTATTTCTGTCCATGCGACCTTAATAATTCAAAGTTTTTTTTTGTTCCGGCGAGAATATTGTGCCACCAAAACGTCTTCTTTTTAGTTTCTCCGGTGATAGTAGCCTAATGTATTTTATACTGTAAAGATGTATAACCTATCCATTATTCTTCCATTTACATAAATTGTATTCGTGGTCAGCCTATAATTAGCCACATTACCCAGTACACAGTAGGATGTAAAATTATTTGTAAATATAAAACAGAAAACAGAAAACAGAAAGAGAGCTAGAAGAGAGATAAGAAAGAAGCGTATGCATTTTACACATTAATGGAAACGCAAACGCTGCTCTAATGCCAAATGCAGGTTTTAGCTCTCCGTGCTGCTAAATTCAGCGTGGTATTTCGGATTTCCCAGTTTCATTGATAATGCTGACGTTTTAAGTGTTATACGCGGTACACATACCCCTATAGCATATATTACTTCTACTTGAAGTAATAAAATACTTTAAAAAGTAATTTCGTTTCTTTGTTCTTTGAATAAAGTAAAGTTTAACTAGGAACTTAACACGGAATTACTTTTTACTTATAATATGTTTATTAATTAATGTAGTGTAATCAATGAATTAATTCATAGTTAAAACATATTGCATCACTACCAAAACTCTATTTATATATTCGATCACTCAAATGTTATTCTTACCAACACTACAGACATATTATACATTTTCCCCCATTTTCGTTACCATTTAAATAAAAATAATTTTAAAAATGCATTTTAAGCGTGTAACCTTCGTTTTACTAGTAACCCTTAAAATAATGTGTGAGTAAGTGTAGTAACAAATAGGCTATTGTGTAGTGTTTCAATCAAACAAAATTACTCGAGTTCAACAGAATGGAAATCTAATTAGACCAGTCGATTCTGCATTTTCTGAGGATTTGCAGGTTTGAATAAGTCTCCAAATAAGTGCAGCAAATAATCATCCATGTGTAATTAGTATTGTTATTTGAGTTTTATTATTATTTTCAAAAAATATTGATTAAAATAATAATGGAGTAAATTTGCTTTGCAACTTAATTAAATATACACTTAAGGAACATGGAAATACAGGGAAAACACATTCCTGTATTGTTTGCTGCAACATCTGGCACTGTAAAAACAACGGAACCGTTCACAGTTCTGCACTGTTATTTAGTTATTTCGCGGCAGCCAAACCCTTTCCTTGTGTTGTCAAAAATGATTAACCAATTCAAATATTAACTTACCTAAACTATTCTAAAATATAGCTCAGGTCATTTTGCAAAATATTAAATAGTAATTAATTAATGAGGATGACAACGAAAGTATAAAAGTTCATTTTTCTTTATTTTTCTGTGTCAAACGTGTAAACAATCTCACTTGTTCTTAAACCTTTTACATTAAATAAATAATTTGTTACAACAATCAAACAACAATCAATAAGACATAATTTTGAATGATATGGTGAATGCTTCGTTCAATTCGCATTGTCCTGCCAATTACACATAACATCATGTCCTAAAAGATATTTAGATATTTTCACAGGTTTTTTGATAAAGAGAAAGTGTATTTTTTTATAAAATACAATTAATAAAAGCTACATTACCGATAAACGTAATGGAAGCGTCGATAGGCTGTTTGTTATCTGATATACATCAGCTTTTTGTTTACTCAATATATTAAATCAGTATATACCACTAACAGCATCTAGTTTATTTCTATCATTTTTTGAGAATTACCAACTAAATTACACTTAGGTTAATACTAGTAGAAAGTAAATTCATTAAATGAATAAGTAATGTATGAATCAGTGTAAATACTTCAGACAGGCTGTCGTGCTGATTGCAGAATATTGTAGAGGACTGCATTTAGTCATAAGTGTAATTGTTTGACAAATGAATCATCCATGAAAGATTTTTGTTTGTGTGAATAAACAAAACAAGTACTTTTGGTGTAAACAATTTGTTTAACAGTTTTTACTTATAATGGTTTAAATACCTGCATTTAGTAATCCAAAATGCTGCTTGTGGTAGGTAACTATAGTTTCGATTCACAGGGAATCATCTTCAGGCCGTACAATGCGTCGTTATTCATCTCCGTATATGAAGGTCGTCATTTAATAAATAAGTACATAGAACACGAACACACACGAAAACGTACATCGAAAGACTAACATTTAACATTAAAAATACCGAGTACTCGGAGACACGAGACAGGTGACGCGACCGGGTGGAAGTTGTAGCTCGAACTTTTTACTTACTCAAATAAAATACTTTGTAAAATTAAATCTATTTAAATAAAAGTCAATAATTTATTGACGTGAGATTTCTTGTTCTGCATGCCTTTCTTTGGCTTAACGTTTTACTACAGAGCAAAGAACTTAAATCAAGAACTTGAATCAAATATGATTCTTTATTTGTTTTAAGAAGCTGATAGTTTAAAACGCAATATGCATTTTGAGTTCTAACGAAGTATTGTTTTAGTTGTTAAATAAAGAGATTCGATTTCTGTTAACACTAAGGATTAAAACTCATTCAGTGGAGTTACGACACAATTTAGGTTAAAATAACAGCTACATGATTAGTTTTTAAATATAATAACTTTATAAACTCAATAATAATATAGTTTAAAATCCAATGTCTGTAGTTAACACATTTCAACACAATAATTGATTGAGCTCA